TTTTTTTTTTTTTGGGGGGGGGAGGGGGGGTCAAATGATAGCAGCAACAATTATTATGCATTTCATTTTATTAGCTTGCATTATTTAATATATTACTGCAGAGGGTTGTCATAATTTGCTCATGTTGACAATAGAATAACAACCGAAAACAAGTGGGATTGGAGCTAAAATGGAATATACTAAAACATGTCATAATTCAAGTTTATGTCTTTAGACATTACCACTGGGGCAGTATGTGTGTATGCAAGCAGGGTCGCGGACTGTGTGAGAGCCCTGAAGAAGGTTGGGGGATCTCACATCCCTATTGCTTCAGGTGAGGCTTAAGAGATTAAATGTTAAAAAGGTTTTTGGTTTTAAAAAAAAAAGGTCATTGTGATAGCACTGGATTGAATCAGATCATAAAATATGGAAATGTTTTGATTGTTACATAGATTTATTTATGTTGTCAGAATGCCATAGTCCTATACATTGTATATGATATTATAGATAATAAATCTTTGGCATTTTCTCTCATTCTAGTGGCTACAGGCTTCCCCACTGGCCAAGTTCCATTAAAAACAAGACTGGAGGAGATCAGACTTGCCGTAGATGATGGGGCATCAGAGATTGACATCGTGATTAACAGAGCATATGCACTTTCAGGGAATTGGAAAGGTAAATACTTGCAGGAGCTAAGGATGTTTTGAGCTGGTATGAGACACTAATTTGATGTAAATAATCATAGTTATATAAAAATTGTGTTAATGGCTGATTTCAAAAGTTTCAAATTGCTGGCAGCTGACTTAAATTGTATAGCTTTTGACTAATGGCTGTGATACAGCTAAGACCCCATTTTCAGAGATTAGATCGATCTACTTTAGATCGACCTAACTCCCTGGGGGTTCACGCTAAATAGCTGTCAGCCGAGCGGACACGAAAGTTAATTACCCCCTTACAGCTTGTAGTAGGCCGGACGGACATTTAAGCAGGATTATCTGACTGTAATCTAATGAGACTCCCCGCGGGGATAGATCGCCTAAAAGCTCTGGGAATACAGCCTAAGATAGCAAATCTTACAAGTTTTCAAAATTGTCATTGCAGGTGTCTATGATGAAGTGCGTTTGATGAGGGAGGCGTGTGGTGAAGCACACATGAAGACCATTCTGGCCACAGGAGAGCTGGGCTCAATGACCAATGTGTACAAAGCTAGTCTGGTCTGCATGATGGCTGGTCTGTATATTACATTTGTATCTTATCCTGCCACTGTAGATAAAGTGTTTATATGAAACATAAAATTCTAGAGAAAGTGTAAATTTGTGTGATTTGAAGTAAAGATGCATGTTTTTGAAAATATTCACCCGAAGAAAGATACAATTTGTCCATTAGATCAAGAGTCAGATCTATAAGTAGATCATGTATTAGATGGATGAAAACATGCACATATTTCTTATTTTTAAATTAAGGTGCTGATTTCATAAAAACCTCAACTGGCAAAGAAGGTGTGAATGCTACTATTCCTGTGGCACTGGTGATGGTGAGAGCAATCAGAGAATACTATCACAAGACTGGGTATAAGGTATGAGGCATACCACCAACACTGGGCTTTTATGTATTTTAGAAATGTGATTTTCAAATATGTGTCTCGAAAGGTGGAAAGGAATGGATTTATATAGAATGGAATCAGAATTTCCAAAGTGTCTTATAATATTGACCAAGTTTTTATTTTTTCTTAAAATTTTCTTAAAATTTGTGGCATAATACTATTGTTTGACAATATCTACTGTGGTAATCATGGATTATTCTTGCTTTTCTGCAGGTAGGGTTCAAACCAGCTGGAGGGATTCGCTCTGCTAAAGATGCATGCTTATGGCTTGCATTAATGAAGGAGGAACTGGGAGATGAGTGGTTGCAGCCACATCTGTTCCGCATTGGTGCTAGCAGTTTGCTGACAGATATTGAAAGACAAATATTTCATTTTGTGACTGGAAGATATGCTGCTGCCCATGAGTTGCCCATGGCTTAAATCCAGTTATAGAATGCTTAAAGATTGGTATTATCTGATGAAACACTGCCCTCCATTAGTCTTTTCAGTGTTGGAGTTTTGTTATATCCAAATGAACCTAAATTTGCACACTTTTGCCATTATCTGACTTGGGATGGAATTATAATATACCAATAAAGTATTCATAGATAGATATCTACCTTAATCCAGTACATATTACTAACTTATGATAGTTGAGTAACTGCCATATTTTACACACTTGTATATAAATGGGTTATATAAACTGAATTAAGAGGCTGTATATATCGCCTGCATTTCACCACATTTGTAATATGATTGATAAGGTTTTTGAAGTCCGGTTTAGTAAGTGTAAGTTGGAAAGTGAATAAGTTTATAAATACTGTACATAAAGTAAACAGTATTAGTAAAAAAACGCAAATAAATAATATGATATAGTAGGGTAGATTTTGATTTTTACTGAAAAAGTGTGCCAAATAAGTAAATATATATTACTACTTATTAACACATTCATAAATCATTTATAAATTAAGGGACCACACTAGATCATTGTCAATTAATTTAAAATCAGGTGCAAATATATAAGGAAGGAGCCCTCTGCAATATTTTTATCAGGTGGAACCTGAATTGTTAAGTTTTTTTTTTATATTAAAGATTAAAAGGTTTTATGAAGGAAAACCATAATGGGGGGATAAATTGCTGGCGTGGTTCATTAATAAAAGAAGTATCAAAACCCAACTGTATTGTTGTTTCTATTATATTTCTTGACATTCAAGGCATTTTTTTTTTTTGCATTTCAGAGGTCTAGTAAGAGCAGCAATTTACTTTTTTTTACTGACACTAACCAAAATCTGAATCTAAAATCATTTACTCTTCCTTCATGGTACACAATATATATATATATATATATATATATATATATATATATATATATATATATTGCCTTTATTTTTTCTGAAACTCCTATTTTGCTTTCTTTTCCAAATCGTACTCTTAGTTTCTTACTTGAACTGTGTCCGCATTGGACATTGTTACCCACCCAGGTCTAAAGGTACAATGTATACAAATTAAAAAATTAAAAGCAAATGAAAAAAAAAATAGTAAGTCCCAAGACCGTATCAAACCAGGTTCACCTAAAATAAACTGAAATAACTGACCAGTCATGCTCACGCTTGGCTGGCATCTTGATCAGTTACTGAACCTTAAAACCATGCAAAATCACTAAGGAATACCACACCAGTTCACCAAAGTGCAAATAAATAAACAAATGAACCAATAAACATAAATTTAATAATAATTATTATAATTTATACTAAATTAAATTAAAAAGTCATTGCAGTACTTTAAGGGGTATATATGAATTTCGTAGCCTAGAGTGGTATTCTTAAATCGTTTTATGTGGTCTTTAAAACGTTGCCTATCAATATGACATGCCAGTCACAAACGATCACATCAAGCACAATCTTCAACCAAGTTTCTTATCTTGCCTTGATTCCAACGCCATCTAGCGTGCACTAACTGGATCACTTTGGCGCACATGTTATGAATCGCTACAGGTGGAGAAATCAGTTTTTGTCAGTTAATATCAATCTGGCTAAACCAGCTATGGACTTTGTGAGTCTATAAAAGACCGGAACGTGTTCTGACACGTAAGGTTTTCTCCCTTTAATCCTGTGATTCCACAATGACTACTACAGGATCTGTTTCTAAGGTAAGATTATACACCTGTTGAGTTATAATTGTGCGAGGTATATATTTTTATTTTACCTGCTTAAATAAACCGAACCATTCAGTCATGTTGTTTCTCCATTTGATTCTTTCATCAAATATTGCCAGTTATTTATTATCTTTTATTTAAGGCTTGCTTTGTGTTCAAAAGTAAGAAGAAGAAAGTACTGGACCCAGGTAAGTCGCCAAAGTACAACTATAGGTTATGTCCATGTGATACTAATATTGTAGCAAATGAAAGTTTTCCTACTTTACTTATAAGTAAGTCAAATGCAAAATCCTAAAAGATGAAAATTTGAAGTCACTATTTTAGGGCTTGCGCTGGATATCATTGACAAGATGAAGTATTTTGCTTCATTTCTAGGTCGTTACTTTGCTGATGGGTTGAAGACCAATACTGTTCAAGTTAGATTTGACATTTGTCAGACACTGTGGGAAGACATTTCGACAGATGTACAGGTATTAAGAAATGATAACCAGATGAGATAACTTGAATGTGTGATAATTATGATAACTGTGAAATGTAAATAATTGTATAGGAAATTTAGTTTAGTATTTTTTATACGAGTTTTTTTTAAAATCAAAATGTATAACCTATAGTGGAGTATATACTGTAGAGTGTAGATGGTCCAATTATTTCTGACTGACAGATTGGCCAGACTTGATACAAGATGCCTAGTTCATGCAGTTCTGTACAGTAGTCTTAGAAAATTGGTGAAAATAGTATTTTTAATTGACATTGATAAAAGTTGTATACATTGGAATATTAAAAATTGTTATTCAAGAAAACAGCTCATTCAAATTGTCATCTTACAGATCAAGAAATGTTGGCTAATTTAGTTGAATAACTTTTTTATTTTAACTTACATGGGATTGATATATAGAATAGTGAATTGAATTGAATTGTTGAACTAAGAGAGGATTCCATTTAATTTTTTTTTTTTTTTTTTTTTCAGATTCTTCAGTCTGACCTCAACACGAAAATATTTGATGACTTACTGTCATTTTCAAAGTCGGCTCATTCCAACTTTAAACTGTGCAAAGAAGGTGATGGGACATCTAGGCCAATACAAGAGGTGCCAACTGCTGCTCTCATCACAGGTTTGTTAGTTTTAAAGAGATCTTATTTTCTTATGAGAATTTATTATTGAGAAATAATAACACTAAAATTAAGGGCCATTTGTTTACTTTTGATGGGTTTTGTCAATAAATAATGTACATATTATCTACAGGAAACAAAAGTAGCATTTGTCATTTGTGCACCTGTGCATGGTGCTTTAAAAGTTTCACTGTACTTGAAGATAGATTTGATTTCCTCTTATAGGGGTGAATATGCCAGACCATGATTTGATGTTTTCCAACCTTGTGTCCCTGCTGCAGGAAAGGGTGACGCCCTATGTGGCCCTCCTCAGGTCTAAAGATTGTGGTACAATGAAGAATATTATGGCAAAAATGATGGGACTTATTCTAGGAACCAAAGACTTGGTATGCAACTTAAAGAAAAAAACTATGATGAACTATTTTGGTTGATTTTACTCAGTAATTAAGTGAAGGAACCTTATTTTTTTGTGCATAAGAAGCTCATCATTGTCACTTTTCACTACTGTATATTTTTTCATCTCTCTTTTATTTTGCCCTTCCCAGTTTGAAGACGATGCTGAAGAGCAGTTGAATGTGAAAAGGGTCCCTCCCACTCTCTCAGTACTTGCGTCCTGGTATGCCAGCAAAACCACGGTCAGTAGCAACTTTGACAAATAATTTACCTAAGTGTACAAATATTAACTGTTACGAATAGTTATAAGACAGGCAATAATACTGTATTAACAGAATCTATTTATAATAATAAGATGTGTATTTTCATACTGAGGAATCAAGTTCAACCTAAGTTTAAGAAACTTCAAAGTTGTACCTTAAGAAATGTCATTTTTTAAATTGTCTTAAACCAGAGTAAACTTGGTTTGACAAAGAAATTAATGGATGTTTGAAAAGGTTGTTTAACCACAATTAAATGACATTTATAGCAGTGTCCATCCCCATCAAAGAAAAAGAGGATGTCAGGTGGTGAAGCAAGGAACTCTGGGGTTCTTTTCCCACCAATTGTGATAGTAATGGAAGACTTGGAAGGTTTTCCAGCACATGTTGTTCAGGACTTTGTTATTGCTTGCAGGTAAGCATTATGTTTAGCAAATCTAGCTTATATTGAAGGCTGTGAATTAGTTGATCAACAACAAACAACTTTTTTGGCTCAAGTTGTCATATTTGATGACAATTTTCAGAAGCATTATAGTGGAAACTGGTTTTGAAGGATGTGTAACTGTTGAATTGTATGATATATTTAGGTGCAATTTTTAAAAAATTATGTTGCAGCAATCACCTCGCAGAGTTGCCAATAGTCCTGGTGTTGGGTATTGCCACAGCAGTGACTGCTGTACACAGAATACTGCCCAGCACAGTGTCTGCCCTGCTCTGTATTGAGAAGTTCCAGGCACCCCCTTCCACAGAGTATCTAACTCAGGTCATCAGTAAGGTAAATGATATGGAAATAGTATAAAATATTTATATACCTATAAAGATAGTTGAGTTAATATTGAGCATTTGAGAAAATACCCTATGTCTTACTTGCGACGGAATTAATGTTGAAGATGATTCAAATAATTGGCAGAATTAACTTTTTTATTTGAAGATAGGGCATATTTGTTCCATCTTTTTTTGTTTTTAAAGGTTGTAATGACTGCTAGGCACCACTTCAAGCTGGGCCCAAAGGTTTTTCGTCTCCTACTGGATATATTCTTGTACCATGATTTTTCTGTTCTTAATTACATCAGGGGTCTTCAGGTATGTTTATAACTATGCTGTGAGGGGTTAGAATTCTAAAATGAAAGTAGAATATTAAAATAAATACTTCAATCTGTATGATTTAACAAAGCAAACACCCTTTTACAATGGTATGTTTTAACATTATTGTAGCTCATCAGGGCCACAGAAATAAGAAGACAAATGTCAATGGGCATAATTCTTTATTTTTCCTAAATGCTGGACACTGGCCTGAACTAAAAAAAAAAAAACACAAATTTAAACTACCGGTGATTGTTTAGCTGCAAATTAACTCATACTTCAAACACCTTTTTCTGTTATAAATCTATAGATACTTTTGTTTTTAGTTCACAGCAGTGTCTGGCATTTAGAAAAAAAGGGATTATGCCCGTTGACATTTGTCTTTTTATTTCTGTGGCCCTGATGAGCTACAAAGTGAACATTACATGCTTCTTTCCAATAAATTCTGCCACTGTCACTGTGAGACTTACTGAAGACTAAGACTGACCTACTGCACACAGTGAAAGGTGTGACCGTAAAAAGTATTCAATTATATAAATAAGGTGCAGTGGATGTGCCTGGTTAGCACACCAACTGCAATACAGACCACTTTGTTTTTACAATTATGCTTGCTATATTGCTCAGCGAAGTGTGTAGTTAATTAATTGATATCATGATTATGAAGAGTTTCTTTTTATATTCAGTTTGCTTTGATGGATCATTTCTATGTGAACCCGCTGAGTGCATTATGCTGCAGCAAGGAGAAAGCGGAGGCCAATCTACATGCTATGTCAGCCAAAGAGTTGGAAGAGATTAGAAA